CTCTATCTGTCTATCTATCTATCTATCTATCTTTCTCTCTTTCTTTCTTCCTACTCACTCACCCACCCACCCACCCACTCACTCACTTCACTCACTCACTCATCACTCACTCACTCACTCACTCACTCACTCACTCACTCACTCACTCACTCACTCACTCACTCACTCATCACTCACTCTCTCTCTCTCTCTCTCTCTCTCTCTCTCTCTCTCTCTCTCTCTCTCTCTCTCTCTCTCTCTCTCTCTCATTCTCTCTGTCAGTCTATCCATCTATCTTTATTTCCATACATTTTCCTTACCGTCATGTTATGTGGACATTACGGTCTATCCACACAGTCAAGTTTTTTCTTCTTCTTTTTGTCTCGTTTCATCGTCCTTACCTTATATATATCCCTTTTCTTGCGTCCACCCTTTTCCTCTTTCTTTCCTTGTCTTGCCAGACCCTTTTTTTTTTTTTTATTTTTTACTTTTTTTTTTTTTTTTTTTTGGGGGGGGGTTGCGTCTGTGCGATCATCTTCCTGCTCCATTATTAATTTATTTATTTTTGTTTTACTGCTGCGGCTGGGAAGTTGAATCCCTCCCTTCCCCTCCCCTCCCCGCCTCTCCCTCCTACCCTTTCTCCAGGACTTTATGTAATTAATTTCATTTCCCCCCTTCCTCCCTCCTCATTTTTTTCTTCACCCCCCCCACCCACCCCACCCCCTCACGCTTTCTCTTCTCCAGGCTGTTGGCGGTTTCCCTCTCTTTCTTTCTACTTTATCTACCTCTCCTTTTCTCCTCCTATCTCCCCCTCTTCCTCTCCCCTCTAGTCTGGTCCTCCTAATTCCCCACCTTCACCTTTCTCCTCTTTTCCTTCCCCTCCCACTTATCTCCCCTTCATTCCCCTACTTACCCTCTCCCTCCCTTCCTCCTGTCAGTCTACCCTCTTTCCCACACCTATCCCCCTCCTTCCCCATGCCCCTATCAATGTACCCCCGTCTTCCTGCCTGTTCCCTCTCTCCTTCCCCATCCCCCTATCAGTCTACCCTCCTCCCCCCCCCTCCACATATTTCCTCCCTCCTTCCCCATCCCCCTCATCCCCATATCAATCTACCACCTCCCGTCCCCCGTCCCCCTACCTATCCCCCTCCTCCCCTCCTCCCCCTCCCCTACCTATCCACCCTCCTTCCCTTCCTCCCCCGTCCCCCTACCTATCCCTCTCCTTCCCCCTGTCCCCTCCTACTCCCCCAGTCCCCTACCTATCCCCTCCTTTCCCCCAGTCCCCTACCCCCCCCTCTTCCCCTGTCCCCTCCAGTCTACCTACCTATCCCCCTGCCCTCCCTCCTACCTATCCCCTGCCCTCCCCATCCCCCCAGTAGCATCCATCCCCGTTAACATAAGCTTCCCGACCGGCCGACTTCCTCGCCTTTCGAAAGAGGATTTTCATTTTCCAGCCTTTTCTCTCTCTCTCTGGAGGAATTTTCATTTTTTTTTCGTCGGGGGCTCGTTTTTTCGGGGGGTCGTTTTTTTAGCGGGAGGGGGGGGGGGGCGTTGAGTTTTTTTCATTTGAGGATTTTTTCGTTTTTTTTTTATTTCCTTTTCTTTCTTCTTTTTTTTCTTTGGGGGATTTTTGTGGTCTTTTCCCTCGGGTTGGGATTCCGGTGCCCCGTCGCTGCGCTTCTGCTCCTGGGCACGTGGCGGGCAGTGCGTTGATGGCTCAATGGGGACACTCACGTCGTCTCTCTCTCTCTCTCTCTCTCTCTCTCTCTCTCTCTCTCTCTCTCTCTCTCTCTCTCTCTCTCTCTCTCTCTCTCTCTCTCTCTCTCTCTCTCTCTCTCTCTCTCTCTCTCTCTCTCTCTCTCTCTCTCTCTCTCTCTCTCTCTCTCTCTCTGTCACACACACACAGTTACTCACGTTTCTTTCTCATTTTCATGATATTTGTTATCTATGCCTCGATCTCACTTAATTTCTTTATTACGTTACTGTATTGTTGATTCAGTTATGTTGTCATGTTGTCTGTATTTGAGTCACGTTTTTTATGGCCATCATCAAATCAACTGTCATTTCTTCTTCTCTTCCTTATTCTTCTTCTCCTGATCATAACTCCTCTTCTTCCTTCTTCGTCTTCTCCTCCTCCTCCTTCTTATCTTCCTTCTCCTCCCCCTCCTCTTTCTTCTTCTCTCCCTTTTCCTCCTCGTCCTTCTCGTACATCACATTTTCCTCCTCCTCCTCTTCCTTCCCCTCCCCCTCTCCTTTCCCCTTCTCCTCCCTCTCCTCTTCCTTCTCCTCCTCCCCTCTCCTCCTCTCCCTTCCCCTTCTTCTCCTTCTCCGATTGTTTTTATTGCTTGTTGTTTTTGTTTTCGTGGGCGGGAATGAGCGGCTGTGGGTTCCTTGGTTCTTTATGGGCGTTTTTATGGTCGGAAGCTTTTCTTTTCTCTTATTGTTTTGTGTCTCTTTCGTTGTCTCTTTTTCTTTCTCTTGTTTCTCTTGTTTCTCTTTCTTTCTTTCGTTCGCTCTTGAT